CCTTTGCGTTTCTAAAAGTTCATTATGGTAGCATCCTTAAAAATTTGGGGCGTGTTCTTGTCACCACAGCTCCTGAAACGGTTAAATAAGCCTTTCCATGAGTTGTGGCCGTCGGACTTGTAAACTTCGACTGAGACTGAGTCTGGTCTCCGTGATTTTCTACTGGACAGCAGTTGCACTGTCCTAGTTGTCCCGTGGATGAAAGGCAGACGATTGAGGTGATCGTTTGTGTCAAATTGAGGAAATCAGTTGCTGGCTTCTTTGCTTATTGTCGACGAGTGGTTGGGAATGTCTGGGAGCGCGCAGTCCAGCACTCCAGGATCTGCAATTTCGCCATCGGGAGCACTGGTCAATCTTGGCTCAACAGCAGCACAGTCTTCTTGGCTTGTGGACCGTGGACTACGCTGATGGCCGCGAGGAAGTTCTTTATTTCGCCACACTCCTGGGTTTCCTCGGCTTTTTGAGTCAACCAGTCTCTGCAATTCCCTCAGCCTCTGCTGCAGTAGGTTTCGATATCGAAAGTATGCGGCTTTGTTCGCAGCGCTGTCTTTGGGGACGCAAGTCGTGTGTGGCCTGTTCTTCTCAATGATCAGATTGCAGATTTTCTCGTTATCATCAAACCAGTCTTGGTATTGGCGACGTGCGCGACTGAGATCTTCCTTTGGGGTGATTTGGATGGGACCCAGCAGGTCCCTCCACTGGGTTTCGACGCTGATATGTGTCTACAGGGTTTTCGTTTGTTCCGGTTTGAGTTCATGCATCTTCTAAAATCAAAACGGCGCTCAGCCGTACCAAGTAGGCCAGTATTTAGCTTACCCGATGTTGACTTACTGTGCGTTCGCCTGCACATTTGCAGTTATAGCCTCACCTTTGAGACGACGCAGAGGTGGACCGTTAAGCGGTCACATCGCACATTGCCTTAGTCACTAGCACTTCGCGCAAATCAAACCTATGAACGAGGACGTGCAAGTCTAGAAGATGCAAGTGGCGCGACCGAGGATGCATCCACGTCGTCAAGAGAAAACTGCGTCCCTTACAGGCCCACAGGAGTGAGGGACGTTGATTTCGCGGATGCCAGTCAGTATCAGTCTGTATATTTGGAGTAAATGACAGACGCCCGTAAAACGTCATTTAAACGGCAAAGGTGTGAACGAAAATAGTTAAATAGCAAACATTTTACATGTATTTTTCGTGTGCAGAATGCATAAATCTAATAGTGGGACATCAGTGTGAAAAAAGTGTGGCGGTTGCGAAATAACGGTGAAAAAATCATTCAGTGTATTGGAACTGCGAAAATTTTCATCAGGGTCAAGTTTAATGCACGAAAAAGAATCTGTTGAACTCATGTTAGTAGTATGTTGATAGTCATTTCAGTAATCTTTTAGATCGGGCTTGGGGAGTTCGGGTTACAGGCAGTTATCCAGATGCCCCTTGTTACCATATATGTCGGTAAATAATTCCATTGGCGAATGACCCTTCGAGAGAAAAAGGAGCAATGTTGATTTGTGTGGCACAGTTCCTTTTTAAGCTGATAATCTTGTTGTCCGAGATTAGCCTTTGGCGCCATTTCAAGAAGATTTTTCCAGTTGACATCCAGATGAAGTCCTCTTAGCAACTGAAACGTTGCTAGGAGGTCACCTCTGCCCTGCCTGTAGTGAAGAGGGTAGACGCTCAAGGCCGTCAGGCACCGCTTGAACGTAAAATTTTTGAGTTCATGAACAGCTTTTGTAGCACGTCGCTATACACCTTCAAGAATATCTATATCCTTCCGAAGCCACGCCGCCAAGCCTGTACCGCATATTCCAGTGGCGGCCGCACAAATGCCCCAAATACCCTGCCAAAGACATCTGCATTCGAGTTAATAAACGTTCTTCGTATCGCGCTCATGATTGAAATTGCCCGCGCTGTGACTTTAGAACGCTGTGGGTGACGCTTAAGTCGTCTTCAACGAATATGCCAAGGTCTTTTTGCACATATATAGTTCCAAGCGGTTGATTGTCCAGGAGATACTGTCTTGGGGATGCATTTATTATCCGCCTTTCTGGCGCTATGTGCATTACTATACATTTTTGACGTTGAATTTCATGCACCATTCCTCGCTCAAGGCGTGCAAATTCACTACGTCCTCTTGTAGTATCTTAACGTCTTCTTTATCTTTTACTACCCTTCACAATTTAATATCGTCTGCAAAGAGCGGTATGTCCGATTTCAATTCCCGTACTAGATCATTTATATAGATAATGAACAAGGGCGGCCCAAAAACTGTTCCTTGTGGAACTCCACTTTTAACGGTCGTCCATTGTGAAATGTAGCCACCCGCAGTGACTTATTGTCCACGGCCGTTTAAGAAACCTTGAATCCAGTTCAGAAGATTCTCTTATCCATACGCCTGACAACCTTTGAACGAGGGGCTTATGTAGAACGCAATTAAACGCCTTTCTGAAATCAAAGTAAATGACATCTACTGGATGTCCTTCATCAACGGCCTTTGACTAGTGTTCGAGAGACGAAAGCAAGTTTGTGAGGCATGGCCTCTTTCTACAGAAGCCAGGTTGAATTGAACTCATGTGACAGCGGAATATATCGAGCGACGTAATTGATTTTTTTAAATACCCTTTACATCAGCTTGCAGCAAATGCATGCCAGACTTGCCGGCCGGTAGTTGATGGGTATAGTCGTGATCCTCCCTTGTGGATGGGTACGGTGCGCCCTCGGCCACGCCAGTCCCTTCTATCTGCTGTTAGTTAAAATCCTGATCATTTTTTGTTTGAACCAGGGGGTGTGGAGTGGAACGCCAAGGTGCGGGCTCGATCGTGCCATCCACCCACGCCCTTCACCGCCTCCGGTTTTCTTGACTCTGCCTTGGCACCGGATTAAGGTGGGGGATGATAAGAGGATGCGGTAGATGCTGCGCAGGTCTACATTCACAATAAACTAGATCACGCGCAAGTCTCTGTGTCGGCTTCGCTTTACTGTGAAGCCCACGGTGGACATCACCAGCGACGATGCTCCAACTCTTGGGTGGGTACGACGTTTGCCAACTCCCACGTGTCAGGAAGTTTGCCAGCTTGGAGCGATTTTCAGAAGATTATACAGAGTGGTCTTGATAATTCTTCAGCTAGGTGGCGTATGAGTACGTCTGGGATCTCATCTGGTTCAGCGGACTTGGCCGGATCCATTTTATTTTACTCAGCTTAAACTAGCTGCGGTATAAATAATACCGATTCAGTGGTGGCCGAGTGCCCCTCCACCCAGGTAGCGTGGTGTGTGCCAAGGTGACATTTAAATTACCAAGGACAGTCGGTTTGTCCACCTTCGACAGAGTCATTAAGATAACGTAACAATCTTCATAGAACTGGTTCTTCACGTTCTTGAGGATGGTAACTGCAGGGAGAGGGGACGAGAAGGACGTTGACGCCGTCGACGACGACGAATACGGTGGCAGATTTGTTTCGCGGAGTAGCAGACGCACGATCATGGAACGGTCATCAACTCTCTGCGGTAAGAAGGGTCGTCTCTGTACGACGTCATTTCTGATTACCAAAGAGACTTCCGAATCTCGTCTCTCCACCGTTGGACGTTCGTTCCAGAAGAAGCTGTATCTGGCACCTACCTAATCCAGTTTTTCTTGTTCGATGGATCCTGCCGCAATGGGAGCCACAACGTCAACTTCGTAACGGGCCACTCCCCTGGCAACCAGAGCTGTACTCCTTTAAGATAGGTTCTGTTACGGAGACCGCCCGTAGGCGAGACCAAGCCGAATCCATAGAGGAAACCAGACGATACATGCTGCCTGATTGGGAAGCACCACTTTTCAACCGGAAGCCACCACGGAGCCATCGACATCAAGCGCATACGCAGACAGCCAAGCAGGATTTGGGTGTGCCTCACGCGCGTGCACCTGGACAATACGTGCGTAGCGAAGTATGCGTAAGAAAGGCAATAAGAGGCCTATAGGGAAGCCAAGGCATGGTTTGTGTTTATCTTGAATAAATGCTTGTCTTTCAAATCGTCCTGACTCCGTATGTTGAGGGCACAACAGGCTGGCCATTGAATTGTCTAGAATGGAACGAGCATTCCGGGATGCCAGAGTGAGAATGTCGAAGTTGGTGTATGATCGACAAGAAGACGATTCTCAAATCAGAACTTGGGAAAGGCAGAGTTAGTAGGGCAAGCTTTAATGGAGTGAGGGAGAGCATACTAGAGGCCCTGCAAGCAGTTGCTACGAGCTGTCGCTTGCTCTTATATTGCGTGCGTCTCTGTCCTGCCTAATTGTGTCTTCTGCGGGAGCGGCGTCCCGAGTGTCTCCAGACCAGCTGTCTGCGCCATTGACCTGTTGTGTCCACCTGTAGCCAACCAGTGGTGAGGCTGCGTTGATTGGCTCTAAGCCAACGCAAGGGAAGCGGGAAGTCTTGCACGGCCCTGGCAGTGAATCGACCAGGAGCGTGATGCGGACAGTAGGGCAGCGACACACCCTGTCCCCCCTGAAGCAAACAGATTTGGGCACCAACTTTCCAGCAGAGAAGCATCGGGATCCGAAACGATCCCAATCGAAGCCTACAAACACGGCGGCTCCCGGCTGATGGATCAAAATACAACACTATTTCAGGAGATATGGAGCCGAGGACAACTCCCTCAGGACTTCAGCAATGCAACACTGTTCTAAGTCTACAAACGGAAAGGCAGCCTTCAACTCTGTAATAACCACAGATGAATCTCGCTGTTAAACATCACCAGAAAGATCTTCGCTCACATCCGCCTGAACCATCTCAATGACCATCTCAAACAGGGACTTCTGCCGGAAAGCCAGTGTGAATTCTAACCCCACGGCAGAAACACCGACATCATTTCCGCCGCCCACCAGCTGCAAGAGGAGTGCCACGAAATGCAGACTCACCCTAGACTACTTTGTTGTACCTAACAAAGGTCTTCGACGCGATGAACCGCAATGGATTGGGAAAATCATGCAGATATTAGGTTGTTTTGAGCGATTCACGAACATGGTGCGTCAGCTTCCCGACGGGATGATGGAGCGCGTTACGGACAACCGGAACGTCTCAAAGGCATTGGCAGGGGTCAACGATGTAAAGCAGATCTGCGTACTTGTCCTACCCTCCTCAGCCTCATGTCCAAAAATCAGCATCGTCTATAGGACTGGCGGCCGTCTTAATAACCGGTGCTCGCAGGCTCCGATGCGTCTGTCTACGGCTGTAGTCCACTATCTGTTCTTCGCGGACGATTGGTTGCTCAATTCTGCGACAGAAGCAGACATGCGACGGGACATGGACCTCTACGTCTCCGGCTACGCCAACTTGGGGATGACTATAAACACAGGCAAAACAGGGGTTATATATCAACCGCCTCCCAATGCTGCACACAGTGTTTCTCGCATCCATGTAAACGATACCCAACTGAAGACAGAGGGCCGCTTCATCTGCTTAGGCAGTGCACTTTCGCATTTCATCAAAATTGACGAGGAAACGGCCGATCATATTTCCAGAGCCGGTTATTCCCTCGATCAGCTGCAAACGCAACATATATTCGCCACAGTCTTCCGTGCTACGTAAAAATTCAAGATGTGCAAAGTTGTTACTTTAACGAAACTGTAGTATGGAGCGAAGACCTAGCCAGTCTGCAAGTAATAAGCTCGGAAACTCAGTCACTTCCATCTTTGTTGTCTCAGGCAGATACAAAATCTGCGGTAGCAGAACAAGATCCCGGACACAGAAGTTTTGAAACGGATTGGAATCATCAACGCCGCCGCTATTCTGCGGCAGCTTCAACTATGATGGACCGGCCAAATGGTGAGGATGGACGACGAGCGACTTCCAAATCGACTCTTCTAAGGAGATGTCACTACGGGCACGATGACAAGGAGGTCAAGCACACTGCTATAAGGAAACCTTCCTAACTATTTGCAGGATTGACCAGCAGATGTGTGTCCACTACGACAAAGTCGATAGGACAGTCGGGAGAAGGGGCTGAGAATGCTAATGGCCAGTTAGTCTGACATCCGCGCACAAGCTCTCCCATCCCGCCACCGGAAATAAATCCCGACGCCCTACCAACCACTCTCCTCACTAGCACCGCCCCCACCATCAGATATATGGACTCGGTTCCAACCTACTTTCATTGACAACTCAGAGCCATTTCTCTCGAAATGACGCCTGATAATATATGTGTAACAGAATCTTGGGTCCATTCTCTAATTCCTGACTCTGCCGAACTTCTAGGTGACTTCGATTTTTACCGTCAAGACCGCACGACTAGGCGTGGGGACGGTTGTCTTCTTTATCTTAGGTCCTACGTAAAGCACTCTCCCTATTGCCTGGATGTCTCCTCATTTACGGGAAACTTTTGCCTTGCTCCTGTTAGTTTCTCGCCGCAAAGAAAAGCGATTGTTGACTGTATCTAGAATCCCCCAAATTCTTCAACCAATGATGATTCACAACTTTTTGAAATCTTTAAATTAATTTCGGAAGCTGCTTTCGATGTTAAAATAATCATTGAGAATTTTAACCTTCCTGGTGCGCTCTCCAACAAGAGATAATCACATTTTAGATCTAACATTCATCAGTGATATTGCTCCTTTTTTGTTGATTTCAAGAAGGACCTCTTTGAGAGTGACCACGGATTAATTCATGGTTGCTTACCGCTTGCCTTTTCAAAAAAGACCAGCACCGTTCGGACTTGCATAATCTACGATTGCGTAGATAACGACTTAATAAATAACTATATTAGATCTCTGGATTGATGTGGTTTCCTCTCCTGCAGCGATGCAACCATTCTTCGAGACGTCATGTCCAATGTTTGCAAGGACATCCTAGAGTTTGTGCCGGGTAGATATCTCAAGCCCAATTCTTCAGATTCCCCTGTTCCTCATTTTCTTCACAGGGGACTAAAATATTTGAGACGGCAGCTACCTGACTTATCCACTAGTTCCTTATCAGTTCATCTTAGAATCACAGACATTTTCAAATTGGCTTCATGGATGCGCCAAGCGCGCGACAGGCAGAGAATCACTTGCTTTCAATGATTCAAACCGTGGCAAATCCGTCGCTAACATCTTCCGTCATCGGTCCTCCTCTAAGCGTGGCCACAAACTTCCACCCCCGATAAACGATAAAAAATTCTTCCTCGTCGATGACAATGACAAGACGAAGTTGTTTAGTCCTTGCCAGCACCAGCCCCGCCTAGCCCCGCCTAGCCCCGCCTGGCCCCCTCAATAATGGCGGGGCTAGAGGGGGCCATGAGGGGGCTAGGCGGGGCTGTGGAGGGGGCTGTGGCGGGGCATGCAACGCGATAGCCCCGCCTGGCCCCGCCAGCGAAAAAAAAAATGCGCAGGGGAGGCCACATCCCCGCCCACTTTTGGCACCGCTTTAAAATATCGTCGCGATTGTCAAATATACGAATTAATAACACACACGGATTGTAAACCGGTGGACAAATAAGAGTTTACGCAATGAGGGACTTAAACAAAACCTCAATATATTGTGCTCATCCGCAGCTACATTCAGTGGGCGTAAACGGATGCTTTCTCCATGATTTATAAGCCAATTTTGATAAATT